TTCTTCAGAGCCATGGTGTTTTCCTGCCGGCAGCTGCTTTTTTTCGAAGTTGTTCTACTGCCAGCAGTACTGCCAGCAGCTGCAGGCAACAGAATCTCGCCAAAAAGGTTATCTTTTCTAGGATTTCAGCTTTTTTCAAAGTTGTTTTTTTACTGCCAGTAGCTGCAGGCAACTGAATCCCTCGATCTCTCGAATTTCTCGTCTCGATCTCGTCTCGAAAAAGACTGTTTTTCTAGGATTTCAGACGTTTTGGCACTCGCTCGTCCTTCAGAGACGACACGTTAGGGAGTTGTGTAACGTGGTATGGTGTTTTTCTGCCGGCAGCTGCTTTTTTTCGAAGTTGTTTTCCTGCCAGTAGCTGCAGGCAATAGAATGGAACTCGCTCGTCCTTCAGAGCCATAGTGTTTTCCTGCCGGCAGCTGCTTTTTTTGAAGCTGTTTTCTTGTCTGCAGTACTGCTAGGAGCTGCAGGCAACAGAATATCGCCAAAAAGGCTGCTTTTCTATAGAATTCAGACGACGCCTTCGGGAGTTGTGTAACGTGGTATAGTGTTTTCCTGCCGGCAGCTGCTTTTTTGAAGCTGTTTTATTGCCTGCAGTACTTCAAGCAGCTGCAGGCAACAGAATCTCGCTAAAAAGGCTGCTTTTCTAGGATTTCAGACGACACGTTAGGGAGTTGTGTAACATGGTATGGTCTTTTTCTGCCGGCAGCTGCTTTTTTTCGAAGCTGTTTTCCTGCCAGTAGCTGCAGGCAATAGAATGGAACTCGCTCGTTCTTCAGAGCCATGGTGTTTTCCTGCCGGCAGCTGCTTTTTTTGAAGCTGTTTTATTGCCTGCGGTACTTCAAGCAGCTGCAGACAATAGAATCTCGCCAAAAAGGCTGCTTTTCTAGGCTTTCAGACGACACGTTAGGGCTTCAGACGACACGTTAGGGAGTTGTGTAACGTGGTACGTTGTTCTCCTGCCGGCAGCTGCTTTTTTCGAAGTTGTTTTACTGCCAGTAGTGGCCGGCAACAGACTCTCGGCAATTTTTTAACGTGGTTTTGGTGCTCGCTCGTCTTTTAGAGCTATGGTGTTTTCCTGCCGGCAGTTGCTTTTTTCGAAGCTGTTTTACTGTGAGCAGCTGCAGGCAACAGAAACTTGTTTTTCTAGGTCCGCCGACCCCAGCAGACGCAAGGAGGACATTTTCGGCCAACTATTTGGAAGCTTGCCACAACAGCAGCAACACCAGCAGCAGCAGTCAAGCAGCAGCAGCTATCAGCCGCAGCAGGCAAAATTGGATTTTCGACACGAAATGAAGGGGGCAGCCGCAGGCAACAGAATTAAAGTTTTTTGACTGCTAGCAGGAGGAGGTGTAACACCAGCAAATTAGAAGACAACACCAAATCACTCAACCCTTCGGCCATGCAAGTCAATACCATGACCCCAACATCAAAGAATAAATCTCCATTAGTCTCGCCCATGTACAAGGGCTTGGAAGGTTATCATGTCATGGGACTCAGAAAACCCAACAAATTGCCCTAACATCTCTCATACTTCAGAAAAGGTAATTCCTTTCCGGGGTCGGCGGCAGGGGCGGCAGCCCTTAAATATGTCTTGACAGCGTGCGTGGCCTTCACAGCACAAGTTGGACATGTGGATTTGGAGCCTCAAACTCAAAGGACGCAAAAGCTACAACCAACATCAACCAACATCAACCAACATCAACCAACATCAACCAACCATTTTCTCAGGGTCAAAATTTGCCACGCCCCATCTTTTGGAATGAAGATGAATCTTCGCCCAGGTCCAGATTGGCTCATTGCATGCCAAACATCCATAGGTGAAAGATGGTGAAAGGAAAATCGAGTCGTGCGGGAATTGCAAAACGGAAGCTGCATCGTTTCTCTGTAAAAATCGGTTGCAAAAATTGCAAGTGCACTACTGCAATAAAAACAGAGCCACTTGGCATTCAAAACTCAAGCTTGAAGCAGGGATGAAGAGCGCGGAGGCAGTTGAGAAATGTTGGGACGTCTTTTTCTGAAAACGGTGCCAAGCATTTGATCGAAAGCCCCAACAAGCCCACTATCAGGGACAACACTCAAAAAAACGATCCAGTAGATGGGATCTCAATTGAGCCCCTAACCCCCTAGCCACTTACTTCAAAACAGATACTGTGGAATCCCTGCACATAGAAAACTGATGTTGGCCTAGGATATATTCACGAAATAACTCAATGACACGTGTGAAAAGAGACAAGACTGATCATCACATGACTCGATTTCCCGATTGAACTCATCAGCTGTTCATAAATCGTTCGGCCCACGAGCGAATTTTCAGCTGTTTTTATCACCCGTGACCGAGCGACTGTACTATCAGTGCACGGCATCTTGCAAAGCTGGAAACATTGTCCCAGAGATGGTTTTTCATCCCAAGTTGATAGCTGATAGATAGTTGAATACGCTGATCGGAACAACCACCAATCCTGCTATGGGAAACAGGACTGGTTGGCCAAAAAAAAATGCTCATTCAGGCTATCATCGGCTGGTGTGAAGAACCCAATAGTGCCCAATAGGAGCTCTAGCTCATTTCCCTTTCTCTCCTAATGGTCCTAGAAGATCCCAATAGCTAAAAAATCGAATGAGTGTTTTACAAGATGCTCCGGAAAAGCATTTTGCAAGGATTGGCTGCTTCAGGGTTTTCAGCCATCCACAGATACTATTGAGCTGCCAGCAAAAAAGGCGGCTCCTGTGCTACCATTGTCAGGGACAACTGAAATGGGAAGTGACCTCCAGCAACTGATGCGCACTTCCAAGAAGAAAGTTGCCGAATGAGGTACAGGTAAGATATCCGGAGGTCTGTTCTTCATTATGGTGAAAAGCTTTACTATTTTATTTCCGTCAACCTTATTGTTACCACTACATCAACATAGTGAGCCAAGACTAGCATCGATGTTCTGCAAACTTCGGCGACCGCAAATCAAACTGCACTTTGTGCCAAAGCCAAGGCCACTGCTGGTGGAGCACTATCAAGACAAGTGCCTCAGGTGTTGTAACTTTCGAACGCTCAAAGACACCTGTCATCAAAATTCATCAAAGAGAAGGCGGGATCACCGCCCAATGTAGCAGGCAAGTCCTCATATCTCCAGCTCTTCAGTGGTCAACTGTTGTCTCACCGTGCTACGTCAAAGGACATCTTAGCTCGGCGCAGTTTTCTGCGACAACCAATTTTGAAGTTGGGCCCAGGTCGGTCACCCTCATCATCCTCAAATCCATCGGAGGACTTCCTATCTTCCACAGTCCTGCCGAGACGTGCAGCTCTTGGAAGCTCCGAAAAAGAGGACGGTTTTCCTATCAACAGAGACTGCCAAAAGTTACACCCACAAGTCACCAGCGGTAGCAAGTAACTCAAGAAGTTGATATACAAGAAGAATCACCAAGCAGAGATAAGCAGAGAAGCCTCAAATTCAGAGCCTTATGCCCCTCTGTGCGCCCTACGGCTACCATGGCATATCTTCCAGATATCTTCCAGAATCCCCACTTTTCAGCTGAGCTGCACCATGTTCAGCATACTGGTGCTGCGCCTCCATAGCCAGGTGTCAAATCTCAAGTCCTACTGGTCCTACTGGTCCTACTGCCTTGCTGTGAACAGTGGCCTTGAATCATGGCACTGTTCCAGTACGGAAAACCTGCCTCTGTGCGCCAATCAAGTAAGCTCCTACATGCGCAGAGGTTTCCCTTTTCAAGAAGTACATACTGTACATATCTAAGCTGACTATACTATAGTTACTATATATAGCCCATAACTATACATGATGTCATATCTTGTTGATAAATACCATTCATGCTTTGAAAGTTTTGCTCAGTCAAGCTGGGGCTTCATACAAAAATCTTCCAACCCTCGCCCCGTCCATCGAGGCTCTCAGATCGAGTCACATTGAGAACACTCGACTTCTCCTCAGGGAAGCTGTGGAACAGGCTATCACAAGGACTGGCAAATCCCCCTGACTCACCATGACTGGACAATTGTGGGCATCCTTGGATGGCTATTTTGAACCAAAACCTCACTGGGCAAGACGCGACAGAGCAAATCCAACTAAACTACTGCTTTGAAAACGTTATAATTAAGGAACCCACGAAATGAATCTGGATAACGATATGACATACGATATGTGATATGTGTCTTCATGGACAAGTGTTGGTTCCTCGATGATTTTTTTTTAGGGTGCAATGTGATGCGATTGTTTGGCCTCATGAGTTTTCCAGTCAAGTCAGAACTTTGTATCCTGTTTGCTCTGGCACACGTGAGCCAAAAGCTAGGCAGCTAGGCGAACGATCCCAGGAATACTCAGCCTAGGCACCACCGGGGCCCCACTTTGTACATAGCCAATCACAGTGTTTCCGCGCGCACCTGCACAGCTCATCAAAAGTGGCAAGGGGGAAACTGCTGATGGATCACCGATCATGGGCCTGTCACAAACATTCCGCAAGGATGGAAGCAGCTGCTTTCACAGACGCAATTCAGTCCTTGAGCAAATCAAATTCTGCAGAATTTGAGCATCAGTTCCTGGAATTGCTGGTTGTTGGAGCAGTGATCTTTCCTATCCAAACATCCGTGGTCTGATAGACATGTGTATGGTGGCCAAAGACAAGACTAGAACTAGAACTGTCAAGGAAAACATCATGAGCTAGTGCGATTTGTGCTATTTCGCTGATGCAAGCCTGCATCGTTGCTGCAAGGACTTTTTTCCTCTTATTGCTGATGCATTTGCATGATAGCCAGGCACAGGTTGCAGAGGTTAAGGCCTGTGATCAACACTATGGTTCTTAAGAAAATAATACCATTCGAACCTTTGCTATTTGTGCACTACTGTTTCGCACATCATTCTTTCTTTCCGATTGCTTTTGAGTCACATTTAATCTCTCCAAATGAATTGGTGGCTGACAGAATCCCGTGGTTTATCTTTATGTCTCCCTATGTTTCTTGAAAATTACCATGTTCTGATGATCCCCTTCCGGTTGCTTCCAGGCACAGCTGGCTGCAACAAATCGCACAGATCACACCGCAGGTATATGTTCAAGAGCGCTGCACACTTTTTGGACCTTTGACTGGGCGCGTCGCTGAAATTTGGAAGAGATCTCAGTTGGACCTTTGACACCAGATTTGGTGCAATCTGGTGCAACATGAATACAGTATATATACAGTATATACACTATCAGAATGTGCATTTCTCATCTATTCTCATCTACTAAGCTTCAGACATGGATGCCAAGGGATCCATCCGCTAATCACTTTGGAGCTTTGAGGAAGTACTCGAATGGCAGGAATTGCCTCAGAATTTTTCATCGTTGTTTAATCTCTGCATCGACTACCCTGTGAGGTGCCTAGAGTCCGCCGCTGGGTCCGCAACTTGCATTTGGAGATCTTCTCCTCCACGCTATTCTTGCTTTCCACAAGAGTGGAGTAGCAGATATCATCCTGCACTTTCCGAAACCATGAACACATGGGGTCAACTACAACAAAAACGCACAGCTTCTTGCTGCACTGATTGAAACACACAATTCTGCTGCACTTAGGTGTTGAAAAACGTTCAGGTCCTTTGGAAGACCTTCTAAGGCTTCTTGAATTTCTGCCTTGCATTCTTCGTACCTTGGCGGATTGGGTACATGCACATGTTCCGCAACTGCTTCGCAAAACCACCAGAAGCCATGGTTTTGCTTCGATGTCACGATGTCATCTTCAGTCATCATTTTCATTATGCTATACATATATATAATATAACATGTATACATTATATAATATATTATATGTGTGGGTGTGTGGGGCACCAAGTTTCAGAAACAGTTCCGTGTCTGTCAATCCCAACCCATCTGGCTGAAACAGAAAGAGGCAGTGGTTGTGGCAATTTCGATGTGGGATGATGTGGGTAATCTTCACAACAACGAGGAACCAAACCGCAACTTGTCACTTCGAAAAACTCATCCCAGGCATGGTGAGCCAAGTTGCGTCTGCAGAGCACTGCGCAGATCATTGCTACGTACCAAGTCGCCGGCCCGCTTCTCCAGGCTCTTCACCTGTCACAACCAAGACCCCGGTCAAGACCCTAATGGCGATAGTTAAAGATGAGGACCCCTTAAAACTATAGGTTTCGAGTTTCCTGTACTACAATAGCTCACTTTGCAATTTGAGAGCCAAGTGACAATATAGCAAGGAAAGATCCAAAATGTACGCGTTTTCCAGGTCAAAATTGGCTTTGACGTACTTTCCATGGCCATGATTGGATATCTTTCGCTCCTCGCTTCAACCATTCCCACCTCGTCGACTTGTCGCTGCACTTGGGAAACCTTCGGCGCTGAACGGGCTTCACCAGGTGGTTTCAGCTGTCGTGAGCCCTTTGGCCTTGGTAGCAGAAGCTACATCCAAGATGATTAGAGCTAGCCACAAGCAGTAACTTTGGGGAACTAGTGACTAGGGTGACTAGGGGCTGATTCTGCTTGTCTAAATTAAAGGTTGAAGTCTTGCAGACAAATTTCTGGACAAGAAATGAATGCTGTCACCATATGGAAGCACTGACTGATGTTCCCATCTCATGCCAGGCGGACAAAATTGGTCCAACACACTCCAGTCCCAGCTATGCTTTCCGCAGAAACCTACAATCTAGTGGACGTGTCCCAGAATGAGATTACATCAACAGTTGCTTTATATGATTAGGAAAGACGTATCTTCAAACGCTGGATGGGACTCGACCGATTCGTCTCAGATTCAGACGGTACACGTGGCCCAGTCAATTTGCTTGCCATGGGAGTGGAGCGCCGGGACCCAGCCGGCAAATCCACAAGATGCACAAGAATGGAACGAGACCTTTTCCCAAATGATTGCTGTAAAGAACTGTGTGGTGGAAAGAAGTGGAAAAATGACCCACAAATCAGGCTTGATTTCAATTTTAATGATGTCAGATGGTCTGTTGGCGGGTGGCATTGAACCAGCAAATCCAAAGAAACTGGTCTCCAATCTCTCCATTGTCAAAGCAAAAACATGCTGGCATAAAGTTTCATTCTTGACCCACAACACAACCCCTCCAAATGGCCGCAAAAATGACCAGATTCAATACATTTTACCAGGGTTTGAAGCAAAAAATACAAGAATTCCAACGCCCAGGGCCCAGCTCTTTTTGACGGTCTTTTGCCAGGCTTATCCGCGATTCTTCGTCGACTGCATTCAAGCTACCCAACCAAGGTCCCAAGGAGACCCAACATTTTTGTAAGATTTGGTAAGTTGAAAAGACCTTCTGACCAGGTAACCAACTGATTCACAACGTATCAGATCTGATGCAAATGTCAGATTCAACATTTAGAAATGGTCACCGGCTAATGCCGCCATTGTTGTGCAGCCTGTCCCAAACTGCCCCTTTCGATCCACAACTCGGATGCCGTATCGGGGGGCCTCAAAGCCGATGTGCTGTAGCTGTGCAATCAAAAGAGATCGAGCCCGCGTAACCCACAAGTCCTCGAAGGATTTGACTGCAAGCTCCCCGCTTCGAACTTGACTAAGATTGAGCCTGCTGTGCAGTCCTGGGCTACAAGCGGCAACCTGACTATGGCACCTTGGTGAAATGGACTGCTCCAGTTCAACCGGAGCAGATCTAGTGCACGCCAGCAAGTCTGATTGATCCCACCAGCATTTCACAACAACCGCAGTTTTCAATCGAGGAACCATCCATGAAACCGTGCAGGTCGAGGGTCATTCTCTATGGTCGGATCTCGACTTGCTGGGAAGCACAGGCACAGAGATCTGAAAATATCCCTCGTAGTCGACGGTGGTACGGCCGCGGGCTGCAGCTGCGTGGGGGCATTCAAAAGTCCTGGCTCCCACCGCACCACGCCACGCCAATTGGAGAACCTGTGAACGAGCTGCAATGATTCGATGACTCAAAAGACTTGGCAAAAACCCTCTTTTCAATAATGGATTTCAAATATGTTCAAATCACATACCTCAGAAATCTATAGAAATCTTGTTTGGTGCCATTTGAGCGAAGAACCAATCTTGCAGCTCATACACTGCCGCTGACAGGAAGCGCTCAATAGAAACTTGGTCCTGCGCCTCATTTATGCGGCTGATGTTTCATGGAGAATGTGGAGAATCTCGACTGCCAGAGGACTGGCTGGCCAGAAACATGGAAACAAACATGACCACGGTCTCTTTGCGGATGCAATTGGGGTTGTAAGTGGATAATATAACCATAATTATAGCTGCGGGGGTTATATCCCAACTTTTGTTATCATCAGGGTCCCTTGGTTATACCCATTTACAACCCCAACTGCACCCGCAAGTGGCGACATGCAGTTGTTGGTTGTTGCACACCACAGGGTCTTGGCCATCCTCTGTTTAAGAAAGTCGTGTCCGCTGAGGCTGTGTTGGGTTTTGCCCACAGCCAGCGTCGCACAAGCTCAAAGAAGCTTGTTGTGTCCACACTGACATCATCACCGGTATTTTCTGGGTTTCAAAATGGGTGGTAACCCCAAACCCATTCAATCATCATCATCCTTCCCATGTTTCATGGCCATAAATTGGGCAGTTGGGGGCCCACACCCAATGTTTGGAAGCATATCAAGAGATTCAACAGATTCTCAAGCTGTGTGGACACAGCCGTAGCTGAACAAATCCAGGTTCATATCGATCCATCTCCGAAGGTCCGAAGGTGGGACTTCACCATCAAACATAGAGGGCTTCACCATCGATGGGGAGTTCACCAACAAAAAAAATCTAGGCAGGGCCAAAATAAAAGATATGCCCTGTAACTGATGGCAATATGAATGGAAACATATGATATGATGATCCATGGAAGTTGGTGGTACCCGACTTTCAGACAAAGCCATGCAAAAAAATGTGCTCTTGTCCTGCAATTGAACTAGAGTCTGTTTGCCCCTTTGGAGTAGCTCGGCATGAACCTGCTGGCAGTCTGTGTCGCATTTAGGAATTTTAGATATCGTTCTTTGTCATCACACAAATCCCACCTCATCACAAGCTCACGAGTAGCCACAACCAATTGTGGCAACGGCTCTCAACTTCAACTTCAATCACTGCAATGAATTCATGTATTGAAATTTCGCTCCTGGTCCTATCCGGTCTGAAGGACGTATCGTGATTTTTGGCTTTGCTATGGGATGCAAACCAGAGTGATCACTGACTTTAGCTCAGACTGCGACAGCAAGTTTTCAGTTTCCAGCAAGGTTGTTTCCCTCGCCTCCAGCAGTCCCAACCCAGTGTCGAATGAAAGTCGGACGAGGACGGGGGTTGTCTGAAAAGAGGATCCCAAAAAATGTCATGCAGAGGATCATCCCAAAAAAATAATGGAGAATCCCCACATCCTTCAATTTTGATCAAACCCAAATAGCAAATACAACGATTACAATATTCCCTGTCGACTCGGGGGGGCCATCCACCATCCCCTGGCACCTCTGAAACACCGCCATGCGATCGTGTTAACAGCAAGGCCTAGCCACGCCCAGAAAGGGACGCCGAACACTTTGGTCAGACCTTGTTGGGACCCCAAAAAGAGACTTGAAAACTGTGGCGTTGTCCCCAAAAAGAACAACTAACTTATCAAAACATGTTACTTTTCGCGCTTGCACTTATGTGTTGCCAATATGTTTTGTCGACTTAGCCAATCCCCGAGATTCTGGACGAATTTGACAAAGCCATGGCAGCCATGTTGCCCAAAGGGGATGTCACTTGGGATGTCGCTTCGTGAAGCTCCATCTCAACCGTCATGCCTTCTTTGCTTCAGGCCAACCAAGCCTCAATGGAAACACCACAAGTTCCAAGGACTGAAGTTCACTGAAGGATGAAATGTTCATGAAATGTTCATGAAATCTCACTTCCATGCAATCCATGATGTCCACGGGCGACTGAGTTCTCAAACGACATTCTCGTCTTTTCCACGAGCGTTCTCGGAGTCTCTCTGCTCGATATCCTACGTCGCCAAATGCAATCGTCGGATCTTTCAATTTTGGGTAAAAGATGGTAGAAGAGACTCGTGTGTGGCAAACAACATCTGGACAATAAAAACTGGCTACAGTATCAATCTTGGACAACTGGATGACTCATATCCTCACTTCTCTGCAGCTTGTGATCACACCCGAAAGATACTCGCACAGTTGGAGAGTCCTTGAGTGCAGCAATCAACATTAAACCTCAGGCAATGGTCAAAACGCCCGTGAATGCCACTTTGGATTCAACTGATTCAACAGCAACTACCACAAAACCCTAATCTGTGACGTCCTTGTCAAAACACCATATATAGATTTCAACATAGAGTGCCAAAAACAACTGGCGTTTCAATCAAAAAACAGCCAATCAAACAGTGTCTTAAGTTACTTAAGTGTCCAACGTCCACGCATCACATCAAGCTCCGTGTTCACCGAGTCGGTCATCTGGGGAGTCGTCTGCTGCTGGTTGCCATCATCCTAACAGCATTCAGGTACTTCAAAATTCTCGAACAATCACTTCTGTACTTCCCAGAAAGGCATAGAAATGCTCCAAAGATCTCCAAAACTCTCAGGTTTCGGTGCTGCACCTCTCCCATAACTGGCATGAACGTTGGAGCATCCGCTCGCATATTCATCGGACCTTAGATTTTTGCCCTCTCCAGGTGCCCCACAGCACTGGCAGCGGCAGCACGGCAGTGGCACTGAGCGCGAAGCAGGGGCAGCAGCCCCAAACAGGGCAACCAGCCATCGATGGCATCATGGCCCCATTCATGGGCGGTCCTGCACAAGGACCACCTTTTCCCATGGCAGTTGGACCACCTGCGCGGATTGAAACACCAGCTTACAGACGGCGTTGTCCAAAGATGCCGTGGCCCTTGGAAATATGTGTAAAATGTGGTTTTTCCTCAAGTTGAGATGGCCATTTTCGGGCAGCCAGTTTTCCGACAAACCCAAATCAACATCATCTGCTGAGAAAAGATGTCGTTCCCAACCTGCACCGAGACCACCTGTTCCGGCTTTCACCTCAAGTCTGGCTTGCCAGCCGACGTTCCAACTCCAAAATCAACTTCAAGAAGAAAATGTTCCAGGTCTGTATGCAAACTCCTGAGAGGTGTTTCTTAAACTAGGTACCGGCGCTGATAGCGGACCCTTTTTTTATGATTTTGATTACAGCCATTCTTCATTGATTTGTTTAAAACTGTGGCGCCGTGACGATTTTGTTGCTTTTCCTTGAATTAGAAATTGTGTTTTCGTCCCACGTTACGCGCTAGGAATTTAATTCATTGGTCATTGAATCCTATTGGGCCAAATAATTTTCAAATGTGGATTTGGAAAACAGAATGAAAGACGGCGTTTCGCCCTTTTCTTTTTCTCTAATCATGGGTTCAGCGTAGCACCAAGAGCGTGCAGCAAATGACAAGAGACATGTTACAGCGTAGCATCAAGAGCGTGTGGCAAGTGACAAGAGACATGTTACAGCGTACCCCTTGCCCCCCCCACCCCCCCACCCCACCTGGTTCCCCAAGAAAATCACACTATCTTTCGTGCACAACTTCTAACTGACGTGTACAACTTCTAACTGACGTGCGCAACTTCTAACTGACGTGCACAACTTCTAACTGACGGGCACAACTTCTAACTGAAGTGCACAACTTCTAACTGAAGTGCACAACTTCTAACTGACGTGCACAACTTCTAACTGACGGGCAATGCGACAGCAAAAATACAGCAAAACTTGCGGGTCCGTTAACAACGCTGGTAGCTTAAACTAGGGAGAACTCAGGAACCCACCAAATTGATCTGTTTGAAGAAGGAAACAAAATGGAAACTGAAGTCTTTTTTGGGGTTTCCGAATCTTTAGAAAGACCCATACATTAAAAATCCTTCAAAAAAAAAAACATGAAAACACGAAGGGAGTCCTAAGACGTGCTTCGCCGATCTGAGGTCGCAACGGGATTCCCACAGCCCGAACAGAACCTCCATAAAGATAAAATGGGACAACCATGCCATGGGATGCTGGAAGCCAAGGAGGTTGCACAGCTCAACAGTGCAGAGTTGGGGCAAGGCCTTGCCTGTGTTCTGCAGAGCATGCGTTGCCACAGTTTGTGCCTGAAACGAAGCATCCATAGCATCCATAGCACCAGTCAAAAGCTCAAGCTGTTGCTTTTGTCCCAAAATCCCAACCAAATCCCAAGAAAATCCCAACAGAATCCCAACAAAATCATACAGAATCAGCAAAATTAAAATACACTTGCAGATTGGTTGAGGTCACCACAGGTCACAGTGTTGCCGCTTCGACCCCCGCATGGAGCTGCGCAGGGGGCTGCGCAGCCGCCACAGCCCGGAAACTGAGCTGGCCTTGGGAATCCAGGAATCTTCTGAAAGGTGAGGATACCACCCGGAAAAAAAAAAAGGGTTGGTCTATCTCAATCAGGAGATGGAATTGTGGATGAAAAATTCGGACATGTTAGGCTTGGTTTGCGTTGGTGCCTCAATACCTATGCCTGGCGGCCCCTTGATATCCTTCGAAGTTTGTAATACAATCCTTGAAGCCCTAAGATGCCCTAAGAGATTGGGCACTTGAGGTTCAAAATTATAGTTTCCACTTGCTCAGACTGCGTTTTTTTGCATATTGAAACAACAACACCTATGGCAGGAGTAGAAGTGAAGCTGCAGCAATGCAAATTCACTTGAGTGAGAAAGTCACTTGGCTTTTCTCTCTGGACTTCCATGCATAGTTTTCCGATAAATCCAATGGGTTTCGTCATGCTCAGCTGCATCAGCAAAGCTGGGTCTACAGCATCATTTGCGGCTGCCACGGCATCTGATCCGTCGCCATAGACCACTCTCCCTGCATCCGATTCTCTCCACCATTGACGCTGCGACTCGGAAAACAAAAAATGGCATGGCGCAGACCTCCCGGGCCTGTGAATTAGGGTCTTCCAGGCCCATAAAGGCAAGGCGTCCAAAAGCCTGAAGCCCAATGGTCCAACATTCCGGATGAGTGTAAAACTATGGAAAAAAATTGAAAACAGAAAGAAACAGAAACAGAAACACAAAAGGATACAAAAGGTTTGTTTGAGATCTCCATCCCCTGCACAAACTTCTGCATTTGTGAGCAGTACAGCAGCTGGCCTCCACTCCCTTCCCATCTTGAGGTCCTTTGGAGCCCTGCCAGGTCCAAATCATCCGGAAAAATTCGTGGGACGGAAGCTGATTTCAACAAGAAGAGATCACCTAATTTCGACAGCTTGAAACACCCAAGTTTCCAGCCATATGAGCCATTCCCATACACCAACTCTATCCGTCAAATCCATCCGACCATCCGATCTGTCAGATTTCCTAACTTCTACCCACAAAATATGGCTCGCCTTGGAGCCCTTCTTGCCACGCCCTTTGTCTCCGCCTTTGCCCCCTGGGAAAACATCGATGCGAATTATGGGATTATCTGGAAATCATGTTGATGGAAATTCCTGACAAGACTAGATCAATACTGAAGATATGCAAAAACATTATACTTCACTTTGTCCAACCGATGTTTAGGGTTGAGCTTGAAGGCTTCCAGCAAGATCTTCCACCAGATTCCAGGCCTCGACCAGCACCTTTTCTGTCCTTTCAACCGAGAGTGTGGAAAATGAAAAAAATCGTCAGCGTATTTCTTGCTGCTTTCTTACCCTGCTAAAAGTCCAATTTATATCATTTTTGAAAAAATGTTTGTAATGTTGGTAGTGTTTAAACGCGCCTAGGCAAAAAACCATCCAGTTTCATTGTCAGAGAATATCTCTTCCCAAAATGTTAAAATCTCAGAAAATGAGAAAACGCCATTTGTTGCAACTTGTTGCAGCTTCAACACGTTTTCAACATCAATTTCATCCAGGTCCTGAGAGTCGTCAGGATGTCTGAGGAAGAGAGGCCGGTAAGCGGGATCCTGGCAAGGCGCGACCCGCGTGCGCAGGGCACGTCAAAAATCAACTCGCGCAAGTGGATCAACTCGCTTGTCACTGGAGAGAGAATCATTCCCACTATTCTTTGACATGCGAAACAACTATGGGATGTTTCGATTCTCCTCAGCCTGTGCGACTCTAGTCGAGGAGTAGTACCTACAAGCAAGTCGATGTGAGTTTGCCTTTCTTAGGCTTTGAGCCCATCGACAAACCGTGAGTTGACCAAAACTTGGCGCACTTGTAATTCCTGTCATATCCCTGAATGGAGGCGGGCATCACCTCACAACAGATCCAACGATTCCCTTGAGCAAAGTACTTCACAAGAAGTGGATAAATACGTGTATAATATATATATATATTATATATATAATATATTATATAATTACTATCATATGGATGGTGGGTTGGATGTTGATTCTTCAGCAAGTCATTACTATTCACTCCAAATATTTGCAGCTCTAAGGAGCACACCACCACCGTTTTGTGGGAGTTGAAGCGTCGCATCTTCTTGCCCTGGAAGGCTGCGGCGAAGGAGTTCGCCAAGGCCGGCTCCGTGAAGTTAATAAAACCTCAGCAGCAGCCAGCAGGCTGGGGGTTCAACCTGGTGATCCTTGTGGATAGGGGTTGAAAATTTAGGGGAAAACCATGGAAAACCCAAAATAACTATTGGTTACTCGTCATTTTCCCTCATAAAAGAGCCACGTTACGGGTATACCGTATATACTTATATGGATACCCTGAAATACCCTGCCCAAAAAAACAAATGGCCCGTCAGAATTTTGGATTCAAGCAGCAGTCGATTAGTGATTAGGGGATTCCAAGTTTGGATGCGATGGAGCTTCCTTCAACGATTCTCGCGGTGATTTGTGGTCTGTGCAAGATGCAACCAGCTGCTTACTGTACCACTCTGTCACAATCAGGGATCTTTAGCTATGGCTGTGTCCTTGTTCCCCTCTCTCTATGCCACTCTGCCCCCTATATGATCACAAAACCCGTGGAAACACTTAGGCCAACCTGAGGCTTGAGCAATAGCCAAGATTTGCAGCATTGCCTTTGTGTTGACTGACAGACCCACATCCAGACTTCGTGGACTTGCTGCTAGCTCGCCATCCATGTCACCCCAAAATTCCCGAAAAACTGCCTTTCATAGCAATCGTTTGAGTTGTGGCTGTTGGCTGTTCAATGCTGTCCATAAAGTTCTTCCGTTAAAAAAAGGCTGGTAAACGTCCCTGGTCCAGCTGTCCAGAAAAATGCTTTCGCCCAGCGGCTGTGGTCCATCGGAAGGTAGAAAAAGTCAAAGTCGGACTGGCAAAGCGACAAACTTTGGCCCACCCTTTTATGTGGCACGACATTTTGGGAGTCGAGTCATGTGGGAAACTCCGGATCCCCAAAGTCTAGACGTGCTCCCAATCATTCCTGCAGCAAAGAGCTGCAAAGCACCTGCACTCGGAAACCAGCGTCCGCCAATTCGTCCAACAGCATCTGTTGTCTGTACCTCACACAGATCACCAATGGACACCTGGGGACCTCTGGAGTAACTGGGGTCCTTACCATGTTGCAACCAACCGCTTGGAAGTGGCATCATTACTTGCCAAAACTGACATGCTATGACCATAGTTTTGGAGGTGCCAGACAACTTGCAAGTGGGAGTGGCTCAGATTGGCAGATTGGTATATACCTATTCCAAACAATGATAAAGGAATAAAGGATGAAGACTGCACGAGCTAGACCGAAAGCGTCATGTGGTTCACTCGTGTGATCTTATGGCTTTGTCTCAAGAGCTCATGCAGCACTTCATTTTCGAGACCCAGCAGGTCGCCCAGGTCCACAAGATCCACAAGGCCGTGCTAAGACGCTGACTTGTTGGGCAGGTTTCTCATCATCACCGTTGTTACATCATTCCAAGGTGGTTCCTGGGCGGTGGCATTCCAAGAGAGCCGTCGATGTCGCACATTGTGCTGCGCGCATCTGCGCGCCTTGCTGGTGATGTCATTGTTCTTCAACGCGTTGATGCCCTCAGTGGAAAAAAACATGTGGACATAGTTCCCCACAATTTCTGGAACCCCAAAGTGAAGGTTTCCAGGAGACAGTCAATAGTACAGTATTACAGGAAAGGGATTGGATACCATTCGGGATCTTTTCCAGCTGTTTCAAGGTCCTCTGTGACCTTGTGGCATCACACTAAGCGTTGAACTGGTCCCTGGCGCGACACCTTATTTGCACTCTGCTCCTTGACCTGCAAATGACTAGAATATGACTAGATGATGGCCCGGGGTTGGCTTTGTAAAAACGAATTCTCAATCTGAGTAAATTCACTAGACTTGCTAGACTGGCTGACTGGCTCCAATCGGTTCATTTTGGGTCCAAGGATCTGCCTGGACCTACCCGTTATCGTGCTACTCCGGCCTGGCTGCTTTGCCGTGGCACATATGGTGGGGGCGAAGCCTGCCGGGGCAGGGCACAGTAATTCCGTGGAAAAAATATGGAAAAATAGCTGCTAAAAGAATCCTTTTCACCATTTTTCACCCCAAAACATGTAGCTGTAGCATACTTTCACCGACCGGCATACTCCGTGCCTCAAAGCCAGGGGATTGTGGCAAAGCACCAGGATCCAAAACACCCATAGTCGGTTGAAGGTGCCCTGACCTCGAATTAATGGACAGTGCATCACATCAAGCACTCCAAAAAAAAAAGTATAAATTTCACATTGAAAGTTTCAGCTCGGGTGGCATCATTAGTTCACTATGTTCACTGAATAGTTGTCTGCTCTTCAACAAAACAGTTTGTCGTATCAGTTCTTATTGGGGGGTCTCGACCAAAGCACACAGTCCAAGCCAAAACGAATTATCGAGCCAGGAATGAAAACCGAAGGCTTGTTATCCCTTGACCCTGGGCAACAACGGATCCTTAAAATGACACCATGACGGGAGACCCCTGCCCTGGATGTGTCGAGGAGGTCGAAGGTGGAGCCATAGCAAAGGGCAGCGGAGGCATCTCTTCGGGAACCTGCCACTTTCGACAAACGAATCAGCTGGAGTCGACGTCAAAAATCTCTCTCGCATGACTTTTCAACGGCTTTTTCAAGGCAGGCGTGGAAGATTGGAAGATTGAGAACAGTTCACAGTTCACTGCGCCAGCTTGCCCCCTGCCAGCTGGTGACGTACCTCTGCCTCACCCTCTTCGGCTTCATCGTAGTCCTGTGGCAAGTGCAAGCATATCTCCATACTATCAAACTGATTGGAGAACTGGTGTTTTTGCAGTCGCTGAAAACCAGGTCATCCAACCCACTATGCTGCCCAATCGAATTGACCGTCATTCATCAACTATATCAGACTACATCCCCATGTTTTCTTGGTACCAAACATGACAACAAAACTCTGATAAAACCCATTTTTGACGCTTAAATCATGTTAAATCTCCCCATGATCAACCAATGATGGCGTTTTTCATGGTTCAACTGCCATCTCCGGTGGCTCACCTCATCGGGATCTACACTGGTGTAAATTTTCACCTCGGCAATACGCGCCAAGCATCACAAACACTATTGAAAATGGCCATAGAAGTACTTGATTTACCCATTAAACATGATGATTTTCCATAGCTATGTTAGTTTACCAGAGGGTACTACCCAGCCCTGGGAATTGCCAATGGGTCAATGGGTAAATCAGTCAGATCAGCGTCGCGCGGGCTCTGACATCTGCCTTCGCCTGGGCGGCCATGTGAGCATGTCACATCTTCCGAAAATGGGCCAAGGATCTCCAAGCCCCGCACCAGTCATGAAAATTTGAGATTTGATCTCCCACCTGGATGCAGGATGCAGATGCTATCATCCATCATCCATCAGCATTCAATGCTTCTCAATGTCACAGTGTTGACAGTGGGCCAGCTCGTCACCTCGAGAAAGGTGTTCTTGATCACCACTCCAGCCTTGTTGTGTGCCTCAAACAGTCACCGGCCCCATGGTCTTCTATGGTCTCCCCGATCGCTTGGTCTCAGACCATTGGGCGCAGCGGGCGGCAAACCGCAGAAGGCTTGGTACCTCCCGCTTCAAGGCTGGAGAGAGCCTTCCCTGTTAACTTCAACTCATCAAATCTCATCAACTCATCCATGGATAGTTGTTTCAAAGGCACACTGGAACTACTTACCATTGGACATGCAATAACGGGCGATTGATGAGTTTCTCATAGTTTCTCAAGATATCAAGTCGAGCTGCGAACCAGCCCTAGGCCCTAGGGCACGTGAACAGGTGAGGTGGCGCCGCGGCGCCGGCACCTGGGCAGCACTTGCAGCACTTGGACGGTATGATGTGCCCCTTTTTTGGGACAGAAAAGGGTCAGCAAAGAAATTGCAATACAATGGCCCAGCTTCGCACACAAATGGCATGAATTAGACAGCAAATCGGGCTCTGAGAGCACAAGAATACATTCTTTGGCATGGGACTAAGGTGACTAAGGCAAGAGAGATTCTCACTCCACCCAAAAGCCAGCAAAAACGCTCGTGGAGCCCAGCAAAATCATGCTTCATCATTGATAGCAAGCAAAACACATGGCTGAAGGTGTAAGGCCATGGCTTACTGAGGCTTACTGGCTGCTTCTAGCTGTTCAAGGGCCCTGTATGACTCGGTCTTGATTTGTAGCTGCGGTAAACACCGATCCATTTGCCATGCTCTGAAGATGCCAAGCACTGCAACAAAGCCGGTAAACCTGCACCAACATCAAAGTCAAGCTTTGTTGCGAACTGGAAGCAGGTGCCGTTTTTGGTTCATCGCATTGACTGCTCTACCCAAGAGCATGCTCTGCATGCTCCCAAGCAAAGGGACTATCGGACCAAATTAGTATTTTGCAGGCGTTGGCGAGTCGACAACCTGCATCAAATCATCTCAAAGTGGAATTCTACCCATCTGTAAATTCATGCGGCCTACCCTGGGCTGCAAAGAAACCCCCCTCTCGGGACTTGGCTTAGAGTGAAACCAAATATGGACGAGGTCTGTATGCCCGAAACGTCACTCAAGCAGTATAGACCCCTTCTCATTGCAGTTTTGACCAGCTGGACATAGCATTTTGCGGTTAAAGTGAAGCATCCGAAACAGGCGTAGCCTGACAGACTTTGCAAAGACCAGCTTTGGAGAACGATGCACTCAAACTTCATTCTCAACAGCAGCAACTTGAAGGCCTGTTTTGATTTCAGAACAACTACAAAAGAATGCACTTGACTGTCGTTCAAACAACACATCTTCCAATCTACTCAACATATTCTGCATCTCCAAATAGCTCTGGGATCTCAACAGATCTCAACAGCTCCAATCAGGATCCGTTGAAATTGCATGCCCTCCACATCCAAGCGATGACTGAAGCCATGTCTGCAGCCATGGCTCGGGCCTCTTTTTCACCACTGACCGGCGATGCAGCCACCGGAATCAGGAGCTCTCCTGGGAACAGTTTTTTTCTGCAGACCATGGGAGCAGCAAATTTGGTCGTCGAACAATAACAATCGGATCAATAACTTTGTGCATCAGTGCAGAAGCCTCAACCACCGGGCTGCATTTGGGTATTTCTCGAAATTTGGTACCCTCATCTCCCTCAAAAGGTTGGTGTATGTTGATGAAAATCATGGATTGATGGGTCCCAAACGTTCAGAACTGCGGCAAAGCCTTTAAGCTTTACATTGAGGCGTTCCCAGAAGTGAATGACCCGTCCTGAATGGTTGCTTCTCGGTGTTTGCAACATATCCGCTGGACACCTGCTGAGAACCCCACAAGACTCACACGGCTGGAAGTTGGGCAACAAAATCAATGAGCTTGTCTCCTATCCTCGTTGTCTTCAGCAAGTGCATCTAGTTTTGTTGATGGGAGTTCACACAACAACCTCCATCCTTCTCACTCATATGTGTCAGCTGGATTTCTCCCCTAAAACTTGATGCTTTGTTTCACTTACAGATAGAAGATGCATGGAAAATCCATGGGAAAATGCCGGCTTTGTAGCTGAGCAAATGGCTTGGGCGTCGGAGACGGTTCTCTCCGGACGATGAGCACCTGGTGCACCCGTCGCGTCAAAGGATCAGTTGGAGGTTTTCTAAAATAGCTACCCCAAATCCAAAAATCGACCAGTTGAGTATTAAAACCCATGGTGACTTGGGGACCATTTTAAGAAACCCCCAAATGTAAAGCTGTAAACCTTCCATTTTCATCCATTTTCCACGAGCTGTTGACACCCAACAAACCCTCCACCTCGTAACCGTGCTCGATGACATCGACCTGCAGTAGATTGCAGTGCAAGAGTAAATCACCAAGTCTGAATCCGGGATTGCTAAAGAATGTACACATCATTATCCATGCAACAATGGAACATGAAAACGACTATCTGGGATAACCCCTGAGGTGGTCAACCAATCTCGCTGATCGATCATCAGCCGGCTGCCTTAGGCACCGAGAACGGGAAAGCCTCTAGCAGCCTTTAGATTGAAGGGAAAGGAAACCAATTGAATGATGCGCAGCCTGGCAGCCACCCCATACATCCCCATGTCCATTTAACCTCTGGTGTTTATCGGAAATGCCACGAGGAAAAACACATCATGCATCGGTCGAGCTAGCATGATCAGAAGTGTATCAACTGCACTTAAAACACTGCCGCCACATCAACGAAATTAGCGACGAGTAAATATCATTAGTAAAGTACAAAAGCGTTTGAAATGCAAGGTTTACTTGCAACAACCTTCAGCCCTCAGTGTATTCAATATATTTCAATATGTTCAATGCTTCAAAGCCGAGCCACGGGTAGAATTTCAGGGTCCGATGATTTGCTGGAGATGGTTGTCGGCCTTCCTGGGCAGCAACAAGCGATGCATCGCACCAGTTGGGTTCCGTTGGAAAAGCCGGGCCCAAAAAATCACACGTTTTCGGCCTAAAAAGTGACCAACATCTGTTGCTCCCAGGGAATTCGAAATCCGCATTCGTTGCTAATGCCACGGTTGCAACCAGCTTTGCACGCCTGGGCCTTGGCGAGAGCTGACGCCACCTGGAGCTTCAGACATTAGAGTATGGAAAAAAAATTGGAAACCCCGAATCCACTGGAGAATCGTGCGATTTCCCATGAAACATCATGAAAGATGGCCATAAACTGAGAATGCTGATATGAGTTGGGGGTATGCCTCATTTCCAAACCCAAACTTTAAGGCTGGTTTGCTCCATCACTTGCAGGTGATAAAATTCGCTCACGTGTGAAGTCATGGGCCTCTCGGTCCAAGGCCTCCTTCTGTTCTTTAACTTTGTCGAACAGCTGCTCAGCCTCCCAAGCTGCACGTAGCCCCGGAAGTGCAAAAATTATCATGTATATATATATATATATATAGTGTATATGTATATATATATATATGTGTGTGTGTGTATGTGTATGTATATATATATAGTTATTATTATTATTATTACTATTATTATTATTATATTATATATATACACACACATATGTATATAATATATAGGTACATGATGGTACATGTACATGGTTGTGCTGAAGTTCCCACCATCTCCCACCATTTGCCAGTCCCTCAATATGCCCTTCTTCCGTGGCCCAATTTTCCAGATGGCGTCTTGGAAGGTGGGGCCGGAGCCCAGAAAATTTAGAAAACGAGACGGATCTGATTTTCCACTCCACTAAAAGCATGGTCTGTGCCCTGTGTAGTCTATTGGATCTATAATAAAACTCATCACAAATCATGGCTTTGCCCCTGAGTCGTGTGCTTGGGATCGGAGTTCACGCAATTCATTGATAAAATTCTTTTGCCAGTCCCGATTCAAGGACTCACTGGACTCACTCCGGGTCACACAATGCTTTGGCGCTTCTGCAACAGCGGGTTAATAACACCACTGTTTTCGAGCTGCTGTCCAAAGTCTCGTAAGAACTCCAAGTCCTTAGTGTTGCTTCCCCAAATGGACTATCCTTCATTCAGTAGTATTCAGCTAATAAATCTAATAAGAATCCCTTCAACAAACTCACCAAACTGCCCTGGTGGCCATGCATCCTTCCCCCTTGGCGCAGGTCCCAGGGTGCCAAAGGGCAGAACGGGTTCGTCCAGGAAGCGTCGAAAGGCGCTGGTCCACTCCCCAGGTCCGCAGGGCGTCAAGCCATCGAAGTGCAAGGACTGCATCCGTTCGAAGGGCCAGCGGCTAACCTGGATCCAAGGTTCTCCCGGCCACGGTAGAACTTGAGAGCAAAATGATGTTGATGTTAAAATATGATAAGTTTAAGTGATAAAATATGATATGCTCACTTAATGATGTTAAATGTTGAACAAATTGGACAAATTCAAGTGATCCCTAGCTAAATTCCTGGATCGTACCAGTGGACTGGCGATCTAGGCGGCCCTCCCTCAAAACGGACTACCGAAAAAGATTGATGTCATTGTGCCATCCCAGTTTTCAATGGGAAAAAAAACAAACGACACTTTGCAAGAACCAGAAAGAGCCAGGAACGTCTTCCACAAACTTCCGCAAGACCTGCGCATCACGCTCCCCTCGATTCAGCACCAGCGCTTGTAAAATGGGCGGCACCAGCACGCCGCCACTGACAGCTTCAAAGGCCTGTTGCCAGTCCTCTCGATAGGTCCAGGGCAGGAGACCTGCCCATCCCAACTCGGGCGCCAAGGACTTGGACGCATCCTGAAACGCTTCGCCAACGCCTTGGACGTTGATGGCGCCCGACTGGAAGAAAAGGGAGAAGATCACAATCCTGGCAGTTGCCATTTGAACACCCAAATCAAGCCAGGTGTCGCCCCCTGAATTCCAGGGTACCCAGCCTCTGCCATCCTCGTTGCAAGGCTTGGGAATCAGATTCGATCGGCTCAAGCGGACCATCTCTGGCATGGAAGAGTAAAGGTCGAGGATCCTCCAGGGAGACTTTGTAGCCATTGTAGCCATGATATAGGTGGAGATAGGATTTTTGTACTGAATTTAAAGTGGAGCCTGAAATGCTACAATTTAGCTTAACCTCAGTCAACCAGCTTTCCAAAATTATAGAACCCCATTCTGCCCCATTCTTTGGTTTGACGAGAATTCTGCTGGCCTCCAGTAGAATATCAGGAGGCGACCTTGGAATTGAGATCAGCAAATCTGTCAGTAGCAGCAACCGAAGTCGTGGCACAAACATGGCCACTTCGCAGAAAGCCCCAGTGGAGGGGTCCTTGCCCACGGGGCCCAGCACCTCACGTGACATGCTGAAATGCCATTGGGAGTGGTCGATGCTGATCTCTTCATGAAGAAAATGGAACATATATATATCATATGTATATTACATATAATAAAGGTGCTTGGAAAGAAATCGGCTTGAGCTGACAGGAAAATCCATTGCTTGCAAGGTCATGAAAAGGATATGGGCAAATTACAGCGCACCCGTGACCCTCAAGTCAATTAATGTACACTTCCTTGTGGAAATTTTGCCACAGCATCCATTGACTGCAGTATTGCTTCTATGACTTCAGCAAAGATAGCAATCGACCTTTCCTACTAGCTCATCTCACAGAGCTTGGATAAGCCACACATAAATCGTTTAAAGACCAAATACGCAGACTAAGTCCACCGAGGGCACTTCGTGCTCTAGTTCAGAGCCCCATGGCAAGTCCGCACCCTTGCTACTTCGTGGCAGTTCATGGAGGCGAGACAAAGGAAAGCCCAGAAATTCCAAAGGCAGCTGAAATGGTACCGAATATTGACCTGGATACACATCAGCAGCATCCCAGCCCCTGCTTGTTTCACTCCAAAATTGAACCATTTTCAGGCAATCTCTTTAAAAACAAATGTTTGGGCACCCACCTGGAGCATACCAAACCTCAGCCTCTGGAAGTTGACGAGCCAGAGGCCCAGCAAAGGTTTTGTGCTCAACAGCGACAGTTGGTAAAATCAAGAACCGCACTTTGCCATGCGTAGCTTCCAGCTGCCGCAACATGGAGATACACTCAGGAGTTGGTGCCACGGCACCGTAAACCAATAAGCCTCCGTCGTTCAGGCGAAGAACTGTCATGCGGATGGGCACGTGCACATAGAGAAGACCCAGCTTCTGTTCGAGACCCCAAAGCTCCCCTGGAAGGTACTCCTGCAGAATGGTGCGTCGACGTTCATATGGAGCTATGGGCAAGGCAGGCCACAAGTCCCAGCGTGCATCTGCTGGGACATCCGGAGGTAGCAGAGATTCTCGGGCGATGGCGTGGCGCCTTAAGGCGTCCAAATCAGAGCTTCGAAACGTGGAGAGTTGACTTCGAGGAAGCACAAAATCCAGGCAGAAGTAGCTTAGAAACGCACAAAATACAAGCGAGGTCGAAAGAGCATGGCTGGCCATGCTACGGATTGCCATCACACCGAAGATACGCTGGATGTCTTTGGCATTGTGTGGATCCATCGATGAGATGTGGTTCAAGCTGAGTTTGGATACATCATGTTTCACAATTGTGTCAGCTTTACAGGCACACATTCCTTACAACAGCTGAATTCTGAATTTGTGAGATTCTGCAAAGCCATGTGTTGCTTGAGCATGCTTGAGCCATCAAGCTCAAAAGTGCCACATGTCCAGAACTTCATCAGTCCGTGCACAAGTTCGAATAACATTGAAAATGAAGGGGACAATGCTCAACAGTGAAACCATTGTTGTCTGCAAGTCATTCATTTGCGTGTTCTGCTGCTTTGCTGTGCACTGGTACTCAAAGCACTTTCCAAGCAGAACTCTGGCTAGCAACAAAATAGTGCCATTTCTCAGGCCAACAAATGCCAAAAGAACATTGACACACCGCTAAAAGAATTGTCTCCTAAGCAAAAATTGAAGTCCCTTTCAAGATGAAGAAGTAAAGAGAACATACTTTGCCCAAACGGTAAACGCCTATGGGAATATTCCAATCCCATGTCGTTCTGTACCCAACTTCACGCCTTGGACATCTCCTTCGGCACGGAATTGGACCCTGTGGTTGATTCCGTTGATTCCCCCGAAGGCCTTCCATGAGAGCCGGCAAAACTTCAAAATCCCAGATATCTCCAGTACAATTGGGGACCCAAGAACATCCCTCATGTTTCACGGATTTTCAATGACCTGACGGGTGATTTCCATTATTGAACTCTACTGTAAGCAGTGGAACCTCTTCCTTTGCAGCGGCAGTATCGCCTGACAGGTTCCAGAGATCGAAAACTCGGAGCCAAAAACGGGCGTCCGAGGCTCCGACAACAGCTTGAGACTTTGGCAAGTCTGCTGGTCCTGCAAGGCAAAAGAATCACAGATGGCACGGTGAATTAGCGAAAGTTAGACCAAGTTAGAAATTCACCAATTTCACAGCTTTCAAGTTAGACTCAGTTAGATTTTCGAAACACTCTGGGAGTGGAATTGTGGGCGTCCCAATCCTTCTAAGGCGACCGATGGAAGAGGTGCCTGGGCAGATCACCAGATCCACTCACGAGACTCACGAGTCGGGATGTCTCTCTTCTGAAAGGAAGCTGAAAGACTGAAAGCTGTCATGATGTCGTGCAAATAGTGCAAATAGTGCAAGTAAGAGCAAGTAAGCGTAACTGAACTTGTCTCTTTCAGCTTCGGAGATTTTCGAAGTAGTGTTGCAACCAATGCCCGTAATCCCAGACCTGAAAGATCCAAGGACTTAGGGCAACCCTGATCCCACTGCTCCAAGTCCCATCGCCAAGATGCAGCATTTGAACCTCAAGTTTGGCGCTGCGATGATCCGCTTGGGGACTACGGTACAAATGCTACAATTCATTGTATAAAGTGGTACTAATCAGTACATCTCATTGTTGTGGGACCATATCTCGGTACATCGGCTTTTACCAGTTTTACTTATCATCGGTAGGTGATTCTCCTGGTTGCATCTGAGGCCGAAACTTTTGCGCCACAGGTCCTCTGTGTGCGTGGCCTCAATGACCACATGATGACCATCATGGCTACGGGTCAAAATGGTCAAAGTTTAAGGCCTGGGAACAAATGAGTTTTGCGAAAGTTTTGGGTATCGCAACATGCCATTTTCGGGGTATATAACTAACCAATTTCATCTAGTATCCAGGAGGTCGCTCTCCTAATGCAAAGAGATGCCAAGAGTGCGACACAGAAGGTACCCTTCGCGGAGACGCAGTTGGCCTTCCACTGCTCAATGGCTCATGCTCAAACTAGGGTTTACGGCTCCTTCAACTGCCATTTTTTCAGTGTTTTAACATGGCTTTTTTCATGGTTTAACTTCAAACAGAGTCAAACCATGGCATACCATGGCCTTGAAAAACAGTGCTTCCGCCCAGCTCCTGGCCATTGGGCCAAGTCATCAGTCTTCCACGGCTCTGCGGCTTGGCTCGTTTCGAACAGACCCTTTCTGAGCTCCCCACCATCCACTGGACGCCTGGAGCACTGGAGCGATGCTGTCGGGAAAAACCACGTTTCGGTGGTGTCCGTTGGTCCCCCAAAAATCTGGCCATTTCAAATCACTTTTATGGGGAAATATGGGGAAAAGGATTTTTATGATCTTTTATCAACCATGAGATGTTGGGGCTCTCCTGTCTTCACACATCTGTGAAGCCCACAGCTCCAATTGCTCGCACACTGAGTCACGGACGGTCTCGCAGTTGGACTGTACACGGCTATTGGGCTGAGACCTCAGAATTCGTCATGGCAAATGACAGCTGGCCGGTAGTTTAAACCCCAGAGAGATGGGTATTGATAATGTGCAGTAATACAGCGGTAGTACAGTAATAGTACTAGTCATTGTGATGTATAGTCCATAAATATTGATCAAATCCAATCATCATCCCAAACATGGTTGAAAATAAAGAATGCTTAAAAACTTAAAACCACCAACCTGACAAGTGGAAGTTAGGGCCGTTGATCACTGACCCCTTCACAACTCCTCCTTAATGAAGAGGAAGGAGCAGAATGGAGGACAAGTATGCAGCTGTTGCAGCGGCACTGTGCAATAGTGGAACTATTTTGCAGCTCGGTGACACCCGCGGCACTTCCACATGTTCATGTTCATCGTCTGGTGGATCCTTGGAGTCTCAAACCATCTCAAACCACTCAGAAGCCTGAAAGTATCTCAATGTATCTCATCACCGACACTCAGCAAAGCTCAGCAAATTTGAAAAATTTGGAAGGATAATGAGACCTTGAGCCCAAGATAATCCACGCCCGGAGACCTCTTCTGCTTTGTCGATGGCTTCAAACGCCTAAAGCTCTGCGAGGTTCAAGACACTGCCATGATGCAAACGCACAAGGCACTGCCACAAGCAAACCAGGCCTGAATATCAACTACTGCCATTTGTCTGGCCTCAGAGCACTCGGAAACCCGATTGAAATCATGGATTCCAGGGACAACGAGACAACTCCGAGACAACACAAAAATGATATTCCATGTCATTTGAGCTTACACAACAAAAATGCCATGATAAACGAAGTAAGTCAGCTCTGCAACCCAACAGCAGGTTCCAGCGTTACAGTTCCGTTCCGGTCTTTGAGCTCGACAAAAAACGATGCAGCGATGCACCACTCCCAGACCCAGAGATTGAAACTCAAGTCACTGCTGCTAGGAATTTTCCAGCAAGAATGTGGAAGAAAACTTGCATGTACTGGGAAACCATACCTTTGATGGCCAAATTGCCACGAGAGCAACCAGAAGGTTGTCATCGTGGATATCAAAAGCTGCATGCTGAAGGCTGCCAAAGTTCAAATGCAGGACTTCATCAGAGTTGTTCATGTCAGGAAAGCGGTTATATCAAACTGAGATGATCAGGGGTTCCCATGTTTTTGTATCTGCAACTATTGTGCGAACAGAATCCTCATAACAACTCAACTGTAAGACATCTTGGATGCCAGGCATGTTGATTCGGCTTGAGCCACAAAGAAAGGGAGTTTGTTCTTGTGTAGCAGCTTCGCGCTTCCCAACACACACTCTAGAAACATGCTCAATGCATTTGAGAGTAATAAATTCCATACCATTGCATTTTTGAAGTAAGGATACCATTTGTTGTGCAGTTTTTTTATCTTGTCAGGACGATAAAACATCTAAATTGTGAGGATTTTTTTGGCCTGGGCGCCACGCAACGTGTCTGTACTTTCTCGCCATCTTCTGCAAAAAACGTTGTTTGTCAGATTGTCGTCTCTCAATATCTTCAGTTGTCTCACGAAGACCAATCAAGATGCGATTTTGGGGTGTGATATTTTCATCAATACGTTTCATGGTTGCTTTGTATCCCGGGCTTGCTTCAATAACGCCAAGTCGGGCAATATCGATCAGTGTCCCATGCGGTATGTTCAGGTTCTTCGCAGTATTCAGCATCATCATGCCCTTGCGACTTTCCTCTCCCTGACAACATGGCATGATGGCAAATTCCACCTTGCACTCCACGCATTCACGTATCAACTCATCTGAAAGCAGACTGCAAGCATGGCAAGCCACCACCATCACTTGGCTCGCATCCACTTCTTCCTTCTCCAAAAAAGAGGCCAACCAACCAGTTTCGCTGATGTCACCAGCACGAAATTGCACCACTTCTGGAGATTCATCTGGCAGCCATGCAGCCCGGAGATTCTCAAAACTCTGGGGCTCGTAGAGGTCCACAACCACCGCCCTCTCCACTTTGCGAAAAGCTCGAAAAACCAACGCGATTCCACCATGGCCTCCTGCAACATCAGCTCAAAATGGTACAAAATGGCACCAAGAAACATCAGGGGTATTGCAGTTTGCTTTGTGTTCCAATTATTCACTTGTTTTTTTCTCTGAAAACAAACCATGCCTGCTGCATCGACCAGAATCTGTCGCCGCCCAAGTTGTTTGGAACAAGCATTAAAGAAGGCAAAGCATTCCTTGACCTCTTTCGCTGGTGGTTTCGGATTTCCCATTCTTCTCCATGCCAGCCAAAGTGCATATTCAATCCTTTGCCGTCCACCGAGTTCTTCAGGAAAATCAACATCTTTGAAAATTTCTCGGAGCTGGAACCCATCAGATTTGTTTGACTGTCGCTGGACAGATTTGGGGACAGCGATGGATGCAATGGACGCGATGAATGCCGCAGAGGGAAGGGAAAGGGCTGAACTGACCACGGAACCCGGCCCATTCCCATTCAACAACCCATTCACTTGCCACTTCCGCAAGACCTGTTGCGATCGCCAAGTTCGTGAAATCGGTGCCAACGGCATGGTTGGCATGCGTTGTATCGGCTGCATGATGCACGTCAAAACACGCAAACAGGCAGTTTTGTGAATATGTCATATGACAAAAAATGGTTTGTCTCCATTGAATTTGCAACAAATGCGTCCTTCAAGTCCAAATTGAAAATTGAATTTGTCATCTGGAAACGAAAGGGTCAAATGTTGTTCAGGAAAATTACCATGTTTTCCCGCTTCACATCATGGGCATGTTGATACTACATGTATCACAACAAAAAACAATGTTGTCCTTTTGTTTCGCACAACTTCAGATTTTACACAACAAGATCACATCCATCAACGCATGGAATTTCAATCACATATCGTATGGCATTTGATCCAGGTCCACTCGTTCCATCTACTTCAAAATGGTCGAATTGATTCTTTGCATTTTTGGAAATTCACATTCCGCTCATGTCCCTGTCCCAATTTTGAAGGCAGTTTGGGTCTTTTGAATGTCATCGTGAACTAAATTTACATTGGGTTTTAAGTCAAACTCACACCATAACATTTTGTAGTTCATACTTTCTCAACAGGCCGAACCAATCTTTACCGAACCTAACGTCAAACACCATGATGTTTTATGTTCACTGAAATGTTCAAGGCGGACTTCTTCTTTACCCAAGTTTATACAACGCGTTAATATAAACCATTTTATTAATTCTTTATGGGTCCTTACAAAAATCCAAGGAAATTTCTGCATTCAAAACGTCTTTCAACTGTGGCGACATCCGAGGTCCGGAAACCGTCCCTCTTTCTCTCCCTTTTTTGGAACTTGCTGAATTGTCCGAGCCAGGTGATTTTTTTTGGATACTTTCATCCCGTATTGACAAAGTCCCATACCTGATGGCATGCGACCCCCTCGTACATGAGGCGGCACAAGGGATATCCATAATTTCATCAAGTTCAATGGCCAAATCCTGGCCGACTTGAAGAATAAACCCACAGAGTATCCCAAACAGCCAGAAACAAAAACAGTTACGAAACACGCAATGAGTGAAGTATGTTTATTGCCCAGCCCTTCTTACTCTAGAGGTCGGGCGTGCAAGGCGCAATCAAAGCACAAACACTTTATGAAATAAGCCGACGTAGATCCCCAACAGCGGTTGGTTTCAAACAGTGGTCCAACTTTGCAACCCAAGACGGATTAATGATGGCAGGAACAGGATTCCATAGCCTAAGTCTCTTCGGCGATTTTTTGCCCGCCCTGCCCCGTCCCCTTTTGGACCAAAGGCAAGATGAGACATGTTCTTTAAGAAAGCGCGCATAATTGAATTTACATACATTTGGTTACAAACGAATGGCAGTATTTGCAGACCACGGTGTGTCATTAAGTGTTTACAAAATTGTGTGTGTGTGTTGTTGGTTTGGGATTATCTTGTCGTGCTTGGACAACGTCGGTCAGTTTGCGCAAGTGATTGGTGAAACAGTTGGTTTTGGCCAAATTGTCCATCATGATTCCAGAATTAGTTTCATGTCAATACTTGGTTGTTGTGTCACAACTGTGTCTGAAGTTTCATTGTGTGTTGCTGTTTGGTCACTTAGCTTTAAAAAAATCATCTACCTGGCTTCGAGAAGCCTCACACAGGTTTGCTGCCAATATTTAGGTGTTCCAAGGCATCGAACTTAATTGCTTGATGTGGCATGTGCTTTGGTAGATGCGACATCGGAACAGTTCAAACAGAAGATTTTACAGCAACATCAGAACAGGTCAGTCGACCATAGTCGACCGACGCTGTGCGCCCACTGAGCAAACGAACATGAATCGGCATGTGCGGAACCCGCCACAAAGCACCCAAGATTGGCTGGGGGATTTCCGGAATCTCTTGTGTTCCTGGAACCTTGTCTTCCTGGAACCCTCGTTTCCGGAACCTTGGCACAACCCACAGCGTATATTGGAACCCTGGGTTTGCGGAACCGAGACGCGCTGATTTATTGTCACGCTGTGCCCCCCCCTGTCAGCGATTGCTCGTTGACAGGGCCTATATGGTCCTGGAACCTTGGTTTCCTTGAAAATTGGTTTTCTGGGACCCTGTCCGTAGCATGAACCTTGGTACAACCCACGGCGTATATCCGACCCCTGGGTTGTTTCCGGAACCTCTGAACCTTGCCAGAACCCTGGTTCTCTGGAACCTGGGCTGGGCTTCTTGAAAATTGTTCCGCAACCTTGTCCCTGTCCGGAACCTGTGGCATAATCCAGGAAGTATGGGTCCGCATCCGCGGTGGTTCTCGGAACCTTGTCGGAACCCAGTGTTGCTGGAACCTTGCCGGAACCCTCGTTCCCCAAACTCTGGGTTTCCAGGATGTTTCAAAATTGGTGTTCCGGTGATTCCAGAACCGCTCGAAACCATGGCAAGGTTCCCGGAACCTTGTCGAAAGCCAAGTGTGCCCGGAACCTTCCTGGCGCCGAGAACCTGGGGATCCCGGAACCTTGACGTCCCGGAACCCAAAAGGTAGCCAGAACCCATTGTTCCCAGAACCTTGCTTGAAAGTCTGGTTTGCGGAACCTGGAACCTTGCCCCGAACCCTGGTTCCCGGAACCCTGAGTTCCGGAACCTTGCCCGGAACCCTGGTTCCCGGAACCGGCAGCGGTTGGTTTCAAACAGTGGTCCAACTTTGCAACCCAAGACGGATTAATGATGGCAGGAACAGGATTCCATAGCCTAAGTCTCTTCGGCGATTTTTTGCCCGCCCTGCCCCGTCCCCTTTTAGACCAAAGGCAAGATGAGACATGTTCTTTAAGAAAGCGCGCATAATTGAATTTACATACATTTGGTTACAAACGAATGGCAGTATTTGCAGACCACGGTGTGTCATTAAGTGTTTACAAAATTGTGTGTGTGTGTTGGTTTGGGATTATCTTGTCGTGCTTGAACAACGTCGGTCAGTTTGCGCAAGTGATTGGTGAAACAGTTGGTTTTGGCCAAATTGTCCATCATGATTCCAGAATTAGTTTCATGTCAATACTTGGTTGTTGTGTCACAACTGTGTCTGAAGTTTCATTGTGTGTTGCTGTTTGTTCACTTAGCTTCAAAAAATCATCTACCTGGCTTCGAGAAGCCTCACACAGGTTTGCTGCCAATATTTAGGTGTTCCAAGGCATCGAACTTAATTGCTTGATGTGGCATGTGCTTTGGTAGATGCGACATCGGAACAGTTCAAACAGAAGATTTTACAGCAACATCAGAACAGGTCAGTCGACCGACGCTGTGCGCCCACTGAGCAAACGAACATGAATTCGGAATTCAGTGAGGGGCCACAAAGCACCCAAGATTGGCTGGGGGATTTCCGGAATCCCTTGTGTTCCTGGAACCTTGTGTCCCTGGAACCTTGTCTTCCTGGAACCCTCGTTTCCGGAACCTTGGCGCAAACCACAGCGTATATTGGAACCCTGGGTTTCCGGAACCGAGACGCGCTGATTTATTGTCACGCTGTCCCCCCCCCTGTCAGCGATTGCTCGTTGACCGGGCCCTTTTGGTCCTGGAACCTTGGTTTCCTTGCAAATTGGTTTTCTGGGACCCTGTCCGTAGCATGAACCTTGGTACAACCCACGGCGTATATCCGACCCCTGGGTTGTTTCCGGAACCTCGGAACCTTGCCAGAACTCTGACCTTGTCCCTGTCCGGAACCTGTGGCATAATCCAGGAAGTATATCCAAACTGTGGGTCCGCATCTGTGGTGGTTCTCGGAACCTTGTCGGAACCCAGTGTTGCTGGAACCTTGCCAGAATCCTGGTTCCCCAAACTCTGGGTTTGCAGGATGTCTCAAAATTGGTGTTCCGGTGATTCCAGAACTTTGGCACAATCCAGGCTCTGGCTGCTCGAAACCATGGTAAGGTTCCCGGAACCTTGTCGAAAGCCAAGTGTGCCCGGAACCTTCCCGGAACCTTGACATCCCGGAACCCAAAAGGTAGCCAGAACCCATTGTTCCCAGAACCTTGCTTGAAAGTCTGGTTTGCGGAACCTTGGGTTCCTGGAACCTTGCCCCGAACCCTGGTTCCCGGAACCCTGGGTTCCCGGAACCTTGGGTTCCCGGAACCTTGCCCCGAACCCTGGTTCCCGGAACCGGTTCTCGGAACCCTGGTTCCCGGAACCGGCGAAACGAGGCGGCAGGGTCGAGCAGTGCCCCGGAGCACCCCGAAGGCTATGTGGGCTGAGACCCCAAAGCATTCTGCTGTTGGGGAAAAACGTTTTTCCAAAAGCGTTTGCAGTACTGTGGCAGCTGAAGGGCCAATATTCCCGAAGCTCGTGCGAACGGTTTTTCCAAAAGAACTGTTGTCCGCCTCACTTTTCATTTCGTTTACCTAACATACATCATCCACATCCCTGGTGTCCTTTACATCACCTACATCTTCTTTACCATCTTCTACACCATCTTCTCTACATCTACATCTACATCTACACCATCATCACCATCATCATCATCATCATCACCATCATCATCACCTACGTCTGTCTCACCTACATTATCTACACCACCTACACATTTTTTCCTTCAACCACATCTATATCACATGCCTTATCTACAACACATACATGACCTACATCATCATCAACATCACTACATCCTCTACATCACCCACATCACCTACATTTTCTCCACCATCTTCTCTACATCATCATAATCATCATTTTCACCATCATCACCATCATCATCATCATCATCAATCTCACCTACACCATCTACATCACCTACACAATTTTTCCATCAACCTCATCTACATGACATACATCATCTACAACGCATACATAACCTACATCATCATCATCTATATCAGTACATCCTCTACATCACGTACATTTTCTAATCTATCTAACCTTACATCACTTACAAAATCATCCTCATCATCTACAACATAGACAACATCACCTACATCAACTACAGGTGAGCAACTTCTCAGTAACTCCTACAAAACTTGAGAAATGTCATCTACACAGGAGTTGACTTGCAGGTGATCCACTTCTACTTGAACTCCTACAAGACTCCTGCACAGAAATTGTTACACAGGAATTGCTACA